CAATAAAGTACGCGCTAAATAGGGTATTGTAGAATTTCAATACTTAGTAGTACGAGCATATATCTTTTTATATTGATTTCTCGTCCTACCTGATGAGATACAAGGGGACAGGTGTGAATAAAGGGGGTGCAGAGGGTCTGACATTATAGCCTTTGCCCATTTCGTACAGGAATTTATATGCCTCTCGACTATAGTATTAGCGAGCTCATGCAGTGGCAGACCACAAGCTCTACTCACAGCATTTAATACTCTTCGTAATATGATATAATCTTTTTTGAGAAGCCCAGGAAAGATTAATGGAGAGCAGTAGAGTACAATAGGTAAAATACAGGAGTTTAAAAATTGCAAAACTAAAGGTTGGTTGATACCTGATTGTCTTAACTTTTTAATGTAGAAGGTAAGACGAAACATTTTCTTAGAGATAGATAAGATATGGGATGACCATGAAAGGTCAGAGGAAAAAACTAATCCAAGGTATTTAATGCTTGATTTGGTTTCAATTTCCGTGCCATCTATGCTACAGGGATCATGCGAGTTAACTAGTTCAAGTAAGTCACGTCGATGCTTGAAAGTAAAGTCAAGCGCCTGACATTTGGAAGGATTTAATATAAGACCATTTGACTTGGACCAGTTGTTGATGTCCAACAGAAAGCTATTAAGTTTGGAGCTGTCAGACTCGGAAGTGATAGGCAGTGATACAGTCAGATCATCTGCATATTTGACAAAGTTAGTTTCGTTTGAATGAGGCAGGTCATGTAGGAAGAAAGAAAAAAGAAAAGGAGAGAGGACAGCACCTTGTGGAACACCGGATTTTGTAAGCGAGGTAGAAGAAGATTTGCCGTTATATACAGTATACTGCATTCTATCAGAAAAATAGGAATGCAACCAACTCTTAGCCCAGGATCCTGTTTGTGTCAACGATAGCTTATTTAATAAAAGGCCCCTAGGTACAGAGTCAAAAGCAGATGTGTAGTCTAAGAAAGCACTACGAACATATTTAGCACCTTTGTCTAAACAAGAGACAACATTGTGATATAAGACAACCGCAGCATCCAAGGTACTTCTACCATGTTTGTATGCAAATTGTTTAGGATCATTAAAAGGTTTCAAAGCAGGTTCAAGACGAAGTAAAAGTAATTTTTCCATCAATTTTAAAAAGGGGGAAGTAATTGCAATAGGCCGAAATTTAATATCAGAACCAGAAGATGGTTTTGGTATGGGGATAATTTTAATGTTTTTCCATGCAAAAGGTAGAACGTTACCGGAAAAAGAAGCATTAAAAATGTTAGTAAGAGGATAACACAAAATATCAGCACAATTCCTGAGGACAATGGCGGGTATGCCGTCAGGACCAAGGCTTTGAGAAGGCTTAAGAGACCGGAGACATTTAAGCACATCAAGGGTATTAAAACCACTAAAGTTATTGTCAATATGATTTGTATCATTGGAAGGGTATCAACAGAAGAGCGTATGAAAGATTTGTTAAGAGTGTCAACATTAAGAGATGGAACAGAAATACATCGCTTACCGTTAGTAATTTCTTTGAAAAGTTTCCATAAATTAGAAGGGGTTTTACATGACAAAAATCTTTGATTATATAAAACATTTAGTCTTTTTATTTCCAGTTTTATCAGAATGTTTAACTTTTTTACACCTGGCTTATCATTAGTTTTGAACAACAGTTCTTTATTTCTACGTAGCTTTTTGAGATATGGCGAAGATAAGCGATCAAATCGAATGAATAATGTTTCTTTAGGACAACATATTTCGAAACAGAATTTAAGATAATCGGTAGTGTTTGTGATTGTTTCATCTAATGTTTGTTCTGTAAATAAGTCCCAGTTAGTGTCTTTCAACATGCATCTGAGCTTGTCTAGGTTGTCTTTTGAGTAGCATCTTCGTTGAACTATACTGTAGAGGTGAGAAAGGACACCTTTGTGTGATTTGGAATATATTTTAGGCAGTACACGTATGATGCAGTGGTCAGAATTCAGTAGAGGAGCACGTTTGCGAGTTTCATATATGCCAGCATCATTAATGAATACTAGATCCAGTTTTTTACCAAGACGGGTGGCAAAGTTAACAATATTGTCATGACCAAGTGATATAAGGAAGGAGCAATCGCTTCCATTGAAGTCGCCAGTTACTATTGATAAAGAGTTCTCGAAACAAGCTGCAGCAAAAGCGGTGAATTCATCGGCGAACATAGATATATCCAATATGGTACAGCCAGGAGATACATAAACATTAGAAATACAAATGAATTTGTATTTTGACAGGTGTTTCGGGCGACATCTCACAGTGATGCAATCAATGAAGTCATTCGAGAATTTGAAACAAACTTTGTTAGAAATGGACCATTTTGAGTGAATAAAAGTTGCAACACCTCCACCACATTTTTTCTTGGAACAAACACGGTCTTGTCGAAAAACATTGAAATTGTTTAGAGACACAATATTGTCATCGTATGAGTCATGGAGCCAGGTTTCTTGTAGAGTGACAATACCAGTATTGTGGTAGGTACTAGAAGACAACAGAGACTGAAAATCCAGAATTTTATTAGGCAGGGACCGGCAGTTGGTACTAATGATAACTGGAACAGTGGTGTGATGTATGGGTGTAGATTTTAAGGCACGCTGCCAACCTCCATGGTGCTTTTTCTTGAGTTTATTGCAAATATGAAAGTTATTGGGTTTAAAACGTTTTATAAAATCCCGGAAGTGGATAATACGATTAGAATGCATAATGTGATATGTAAATACCAATAAAATACGAGTAAATAGATGCAAAATGTACTTGGAATTTGGTAGCCCAAAAATATTTAAACAGGCCGCCAAGGTCATTCGATGTTAATGATGGAGAAAGCCAAAGGCGTATTACTGGTCCACCACCTTTTAGCACATTCCTGATTTGATTTCATAGATCTTTGAAGGACGGTGAGAAATGAGGATGAGCTGGTCATACTGAAAGGAAATCTAACTAGCCTGGGAAATTTGGCTGCAGAAAACTGGCTATTTAGCACTGTCGATCAATACTGCTATACGAAAAATCCCCTCAGCTTCACGCGCACACCTTGACTTTCAGTTGTACAAGATATATTTAGGAGTGAAAAAGGCCACTCTGTCACCACTCTTAAAAGGAGGTGACAACCTCATAGAAAACGTTAGAAGGCCAGCAACTAAAACCACCACTGAGTTAAAATGCCAATCAAATGATCGATTCCTAAAGCTCAATCTGTACGCACTCAACTGACGCCGGGCGACAGTTAATTATGGCACAAGCATTGGTGCACGAACCAAATCACTGGTTAGGACTTTGTCGTTCCAAAGACAGTCAAACAGAATCGCTTAGTGGAAGGCAGCAAACGAGCTGAGGTCTGACCTCTGTTCCTTTAGGGCTTTAGTTTAAGAGGATTTGGAGGTTGACGGTACTGACGTTCGCGAACTGTACTGAGTATATTAACGCAAGATCTTATACCAACAACTTCTATCTTATTTGATTCTTGTGTACCAAGGGCAAGGCAAAACATCACAACTGACTGTCCAAATTACGAGGCATATTTCGGAACCAAATCGCGGATTGAAGCGGAAGCTAAGCTAGCTAGTTATCGTGCACGAAAGTGACACGACGGAATACCAAATGGCGAGGATGCTTGACGGGAAGCCTTCAGCTAAACAATTCAACTTAAACTCTAAAGGTCAGCATCCAATGTTCACTGATGATTCTTATGGTCACGATGTAATTCTTCTCATAGACATAATCTATTCACTCTACAAGTATAACTGCCTTTCGCGACCACAGTATCACTTGATGGCTTCAGTAGTGTTACACAACTTCGTAAATCCCTAATGGAAGCACCCCTGGTCTATGAAACTGCATCTGAACAACAAATATCCCATCCACTTCATTCACTTCTCAAGAAGCCATAAGGTTTATAGTTGGTTGCAAAAACGATATTGAATTTGTGTCGCAGTGTTTTATCTTTCTTGCGACCCGAATAATTTTTTATATCTCAGCGATTCATTTCAGCCCTTCCAGCCTTACTTCCGAATACTTAGGCTGAAGAGATGAGACCATTGGAACACTGTACTAGGTTTGTGAACGTGTTTGATCGTGGACGATACTTGTATGAATTTTGACATACAGCCGGTGTAAAACATGGGAGGACTTTTGGCCTCGCCTAAAACTGACAAATATAATGAAACCGGCTGTGGAAATGGACTACGTTACGGTATATCGAGCATGCAAGGCTGGCGTCTCTCAATGGAAGATGCACACTGTGCCATAACTCAGCTTCCTGGAAACCTAAAAGATTGGTCATTTTTCGCTGTTTTCGACGGTCATGCAGGAGCTTTGGTGTCTGAACTATGTGCGACGGAACTGTTGAAGGTTTGTTAAGTAGTGATTCTTACAAATTCGTGTAATGTCTGAGTTCCTACTTAATAATGCTTTATGCTTAAGCATAAAAACTAATTTTATATTTGGAGTTGAAATCCAGAAAACTGCTGCAGTCAACTGTATGTATTCCTTTCATCCCTTATGAGACTGACGTAGAGACTGGATGAATTGTAATTATATCCTATGGCGTACTTCGTGAAGCATGTTGGACTGAAGAGAATTACACACTACCTTTTCGTCTATGGTCCACTGACACTTTGACGCTAATGCTTTTGGTTTATGTGCTTGCAATTTTACTCATTTATTTTGACTGAAGCCACTATTTATTTGGACAGTAGTGTGGCACTTTTTGAAGCGTTTTACGAAATTTCACTTTTCAGAATGCTAAATTGCTCATAGCCTCAACAGATATATTACCTGTTATTCTTGTTCGTTAGAAACCACTAATATCCTGGCAGGTTTGCCTGTGTGGTACTCAGCACCCATCACTTATTTGTAGGCCTTTTTAGATTTTTAAAATTACTAGCTTCCTATTTGTTACATGAACAGCTAAGTGATGCCCATACACGGTTAATTTTCGAAAATAAGATAAGTAGAATTCGGCTTACGTTGTGCTGTTGTAGCCATATGTTCCACTTTGAACCCAAGGGAACAATAATAATATGATAGATTACGTATGTAGTGTGACTACTTGGGTAAAGCCCTAACCACAGTTTCTTTCATGGTTTTCTTTTCTGAAATCACATTCTAATTATGTATAACTGTCAGATATTTTTTCACACAAAAGCATGATATAAATAAGCTAATTGGTTACTTTACTATAAGTTTTCATACAAATCACTGTCTTTAGCTTTCGTTCGCTATCACGTCTGTCTGTCTGTCTGGATTCAACATAGAACTTGGCACCAAAGTGCAGCAGTTCGACTTGCCATGTTCCAAATACCACACAGAGGTAGACAAGATGAGTGAAGAGAATCGATAGAGTTTGACAAGTATAAGAGTGAAACAGAATGGGTAATGGTAGAAAGGAATATGAAAGATTGCAGAGACTGAATACATCTGCACTGGCCATTGACAACGATTTTGAGCCATGTCACCTATTGTCTCCAGCCATTGATTCCTAGAGTCCCGAGGCCCCAACCCGGGAGTCTGCATCTCCCTACCTGACTCAGTTTAACTGTTAAGGATTTCATGGATTGATGAGGCCATGTTTTTGTTTGGCCACCACTTACTCTTTTCCAACCTGCACCTATATCAGCTAGCAATGCCCGTCGGGGGAGGCGATGGTTAGGCATGCGCAGCACGTGACCTAGCCATCCCAGTCTATGTAACTTTATAGCCTCGTTGATTGATTTTCCCTCTTTGCCCAACACTCTACGCCTAACGTCAACATTACTTACCTTATTAAACCGCCTAACGTGAGACAGAGATCGCAGACATCTATGATCGAAAGCAGTCAACCTTTTCATGTCTTCAACTCGTATTGGCCATGTTTCAGAGCCATAGAGAAGGACGGAGCGAACTGCAGTGAGCAGTACACACGTCCCTTGGTTGATAACCGGATGTCACGCCTACGCCAGAGATGGTGTAAGTCAGCGAAAGCAGCTCGAGCTTTTCGGATCCGTGCTGAGATTTCATCGCCAATCAGTCCGTTGGTGCTAATACAACTTCCCAAATAGGTGAAGTGGTCAACATGTTTTATCACTTCACTCCCTATCACTAAGTTAGAGGTTGACGTGGTCCAGTCCTGTAGCAGCATCTTACATTTTGTAGGGGCGAATCGCATGGTTCACTTTTGTTATTAGGCTGAGGAGATATTTCGAAGACAGTGAGGATTTAAGCTGGCAGCCAGGTTACTCTTGCTCCAGTCAGTTTTCCGTTCGTGAAAATGTTTCAGGTTTAATTTTGTTCCTGTGTAATTGTTCTACTGTGTGATTAAACAGCCATTAAAGATACATTATCTGTGAAGGTCCTAGATATTGGTAAAACAACGTGAACAGTTTAGAAGTTTTGTGTGAGATAATAGGTGGCACTTTAAGGTGATGACTGGGTATGCATAGCATTCTCCAACTATCCATGTTGATCAAAATCCACCTCATCCACTGACCTATCTTCTTTACCTAACAGTAAACGCCCATTCTCAGTATTTCTTACTTTATTTCATCTAACTTGAGCAACACTATAGAGATATCTGTAATCAAAAACCTCGAATATATTGTTTGTGTTGGGCTGTCGTACCAGCAGTAGAAAGAGGATGCAGTGAAAAGCTGTTCATGTCCCGCCAGTTGACTAATGCCTTTTGTATCCAATCTGATATTTCTTCAGCAGCCAATTTATCAGCACTGATGTGAGTTCCCAAATAAATGAAATGATCGGCACATTCAAATGGGTTGCTCGGACCTCCTATCTTGACAGTTTCAGTCGCCACAAATTCTAGTTTCCGTTTCTTTAATAGACCTAAACGCTATGCTTTATCTAGGGGTGACTTTTGTCATTTCTTTTGATTTCTTCATTCACTGGTGCTCACAGCTTTTGCGTAAACTTTTAGGCAGCATTCCCTTGGTGACAGAGCCCATCGTAACCATTTTTCTCGTATCGATCATTTTGAATGAGGTTAAAGTAATTCAATGTCTTAGACACACATTTCGCTCCAGGTTACCAACTCTCTTCTCTGCTGGAGACAGCAGAGAAGAGAGTTGACTTCTTCGGGATAAATATGACTCTGTCCAGCTAACTTGTATCTAAATCCAGACCTGGTGTTTGCCTCAAAACTTTGTGTTTTCTGTGTCCGTTTAATCGTACATATTTACGAAGTAATGCATAATGAAAGTCGACATAGGTGTTCCAGAAAAAGCGTCAATCCCCCATTGATGTTTCATAGCAAACTGTGCTATCTGCCTCTATTCCTGACTTGATGTCAGTGATCGCTAAGTGAGGTAATATCTTTCCATGTGGTTTGAAGTTAGTAATAACCAGAAACAAGTGACAATCTGAACAGAACCTTGAGAGATGTTCACTGTTATTGCGTCGTTAGGTACATATATTTTTTTGTTATTATCCCCTTGGGTTCCGAGTCGAACATAGGCCTTCAACAACACATCTCCACTTTCTTCTATTTTCTGCCGTCTTCTTCAGTTGGGTACACGACCAACCATAATTTCTCATCTCCTCCATGTCACCCTAGGACGACCCACTCATCGTTTCCCATCCGTATTCAACTCGAGCAATAGCCTGGCGCGATGTTATTCAACGGTTTCCTCAATGTTTGCCCGATCCATCCCAATTTTCCCCTACATATTTGTTGAGCGATCGGCTCTTGGTTGGTTTGTTCCCAGTCAGAGTTTCTTCTTGCTAATTTTTCTGGCCACCTGCCAGCGAAGGCAGACAGGTGTTGGTAAAAGTCTGCAGTGACCTGTTGGAAATCCTTTTCGTGACACTGGCCAAGTTTCTGACTCGTGTAGAAGGACCGACTTCACATTTGTGGTGAAAATCCAAATCTTTTTCTCTATTGGCTGAGTGCAGAAGATTTCCAAAGTGGTTTCAGGTTGATGAAGGCGTATGTTGCCTTTCCAATTCTGGCTTGCTGACTTTGACATCTTCAACGGTGCCATCCGTAGTTGAAACGATGCTTCCTAGCCGGATAAGTGAAGGAAGTAACCTCTGTTAAATCCCTCCCGTTGACGGTGATTGATTTTGGTTGTTGTTGGTGTTGCTGGTGGTGGTGGTTGGTTGTCTTCATCAACTCTGTCTTCTCTATGTTCACCTGTAGTCCTGTCTTCTCTGGCTGGCTCTTCAGCCATTTTGTAGGTTTTTGCCTGCAAGTCTTAGAGATTGTGTGACATTAAACATAAATCACCCACGCTCGAAATCCATATCTTCTAGAGTCTTCTTGTCGGTGGTCCAGCGTACTCCTGTTTCCTCGCTCTCAAGTACAGTCTGATGCATAATCCAGTCCACCACAATTAAGCATATCATCGGTGATAATAGGCAGGCAGTCTTGTCTTACTCATGTACTCCCTTCGAACTCCTCTCTTATTTTCACATTGTGGAACACCTGACACGTGGCATTGTCATATAGCCAGTTGTTGAATGAGGTTGATAAAGACTTGAGCAGTGCATACCGTAGTGTTGAAGTAGTTTCCAAATTACTTCTCAGTCAACACTGTCCGTCGAAGGCCTTTTCAAAGTCGATGAGGTAGGAGATTGACTGCCATTCTGTGCTTTGTTCTGTGATGCCGATGCGTAGAGTTGCAATTTGATCAGCACGTGATTCGCCTTTCATGAATTCAGCTTGTTCCGGCGAGTTGGCGGAGTTCTGCATCCAGTACATCCTTTACTCTTTCCAGGATGATGCGACTTGGTATTTTACTTGGCGTGGACAAGAGCATTATTCCACGCCAGTTCTTGCACAGGCCTAAGTCGCCCTTCTTTGGCAGCTTGAGAAGGCTTCCAACCTTTCTTCCAAACGGTAGGTACCTTTCCTTCTTTCCAAACCTTTTGCAATAATGACGTGAACACATATGCCACAGTCTCTGGGTCCATCTTCAGTGTTCGGAGGGAATTCCGTCTGGTTCTTCTGCCTTCCCAACCGGACTTCAGTAACTTGATCGCAATCAGGACTTCTGCTCTCGTTAGAAGATTAGTGTCCACTGGCAGACAGTTCTGTGCGTGCTGTTGGTGGCACTTCTGGGCGAGTTGCCGGTGGTAGTCGATTCAAGAACTCTTCAAAGTGATCAGCCCATTGTTTTATTTGTTTCCCCACCTTGGTGATCAGGTTCCCGTGAGTATCTTTTATTGGTTTCATCATCCAGGTTGATCTCTTCCCAGATAGAGACCTGGTTATCTGTTATAATGTTCTGAGGTCTCTTTTACATGCAGCCTGCCAGTTCTGCTTTAGTTGTGTTTTGTCTTTCCTAGCACTCTTCTTCACTTCTTTATTCAATGCAGTGAACATTTAACCCAGCTTTTCCTTCTGTTGCCCACCTTTGCATTGAGTTATCTTCTCTTTCACCACCCTCCTCTGTGCTATTCTATTACCCTCCAGGTATCTGTTGAGAGCCATTCCTTATCGTGTCTCTTCTTTCTTCCTGGAATACTTGTACACGTTTTCTTTGATCATCACCTTCAGAGAGTTCCATTGTTCTTCCACACAGATTTCCTCAGTAATGCCACGTAGTATCTCCGACCTTGCTCTGATATCTGTAGCGAAGGCATCTCTCGTAGTTTTGCCCTTTAGTTTCTGAATGTTGGACGTGAATTACAGTGACCTATCCAGTTGTTCAGAAGGATTTCAACTTCACCTTAAAGGCTCCTTGAACTAGATGATGGTCTGAGTCCACATCTGCTCCCCTTCTCGACTTTGCGTCCAGCAGACTGCGTCTCCACTTCCTTGAGTAACATTGAGATGAGATCAGTCTGGTTTTTAGCGTGTCCGTCAGGCGAAAACCATGTTGGTTTGTGTATATGTTTGTGCTTGTACACGCTCTCTCCGATCACCAGATCATTGAAAGCGCAGAAATCTGCGCATAATTCTCCGTTCTCATTCATTTCACCCAAGGCCTGTCGACCCATTATGAGTTCTCCTCAGGTATTATCTGCTCCCAATTTGGCTGGTATTCTTATCGTCCATGAGGATTTTGATGTCACCATTTGAAATGTCCATTACTGTTTGTATTCGCCTGTAAAAATCTTCCTTATCTTGTTCCGCATTGTTTGTAGCACTGCGCGTAGCATTGCATGATAATTGTGTCCTTCATACCTTTTGAGTCGAATCTTGCTGTCATGGTCCTGGATGATATTGGTTCCCACTTCATTAGGTATTTGGCTCCCACTGGTCACATCATTATAGCCACTCCTTCAGTGTGTTCGTGGTTGTCGTCTGGGTGACTAAAACGGAATAGATGAGTGACTCTCCAGTTGACAATTTTGCCAATCCACATCCGTTCCATCTGCTTTCACAGATACCCAGCACTTCTATGCCATATCTTCGCACTTCGTTGGGTACTTGGATAGCCTTCCAAGCCGGCTTCGTATATTGTACGGACATCCCCATTCTTATTCTTGCTTTCAACGAGAGAAGACACATCGGCTGACTGGCTTCCCGAAGTCTGGCTTTCACCAGCCCACGTCATTTCGCCTCTCCGATTCCAGCAAAGAATAATATTGTCATCTGAATTTTTGTATTTTTGACACTTTTTGTGCGTTTAAGTTTCTGTGGCGGTTTGGTAGCTTAAGTGGTGTAGGGTAGCTAACCTCACGCCCAACCCTCCCTCTTTACCGGGGCTTGGGGCCGGCTAGGAAACTAGCAAGCTAGTTAACTAGGTGAGGTTCTGTAAACATTACTGGTCCCCTATTCCAAAACTGCCCCTTCGTAAATTACCCATTACCTTCCTCCGCGACACATCCTGGATGATAGTTTGGGAATATTACCCTTATACTAACTATCTGTTCGGCGCCAATAAATTTGGTTATTTAAGAAATGATGAAAACATGCTGATGATATATATATATATATATATATATATATATATATATATATATATATCCGAATAGCTTAGTTTTCCCACTTGGAACTAAAGTCATGTGCTAATATGACTACATGTGAGCATCTTGTTTAACCCAACAGCGCTTCTTAAAGTCTACCTTTCTACTTCATCCGGAGTGTAATCTGTGGTGAGTACTGGGGTGATTGTAAAAGACACTGATATATATCACGTTTCTTTCAGAGAGATCATTTTAGCCAAACAGCCTGTCTGTCTGTCTGTCTGTCTGTTTTCGACATAGAACTTTGCACAAATGTGCGGAAGTTCAAGTCGCCACATTCTGTGTAGCACGCGAAGCAAGAGAAGAAAGTACAAGAAAAGCATAGTAGAAACAGTGAGCAGAGGTGTGAGACAAAGGAGTAATAAAGAAATACAAAACAGTTTCATTGAAGATCATAAGTCACAGGGAGTGGATGCATCTGCGCCACTGAGAACGGTTTTGAGCCATGTCACCAATTGCTTCCAACCATAGATTTTTACCGTCCCGAGGACCCCAGCCTGGAAGTCTACACCTTTCTACGTGGCTTAGACCAACTGTTGTGGATTTCATTGACTGGTGCCAAGTTTTTGTTTGACCGCCGCTAGCTCTTTTCCAGCCTGACCCTATATCCGCTAACATTGCTCATCGAGGGAGGCGATGGCTTGGCATACGTAACACATGTCCTAACCATCTCAGTCTTTGTAGCTTCACGACTTCGTCGATTGATTTCCCCTGTTTACCTAGAACTCTACGCCTAACCTCCATGTTGCTCACCTTATTATGCCACTTTACACGGGAAATAGAACGCAGGCACCTATGATCAAAGACAGCTAGTCTTTTCATGTCTTCCACTCTCAGTGACCAGGTCTCACAGCTGGCCATAAAGGAGGACGGAGCGGACTGATGAGCAGTACACCCGCCCTTTGGTCGATAGTCGAACATCTCGTCTACGCCAGAGTCGGCGTAAACTAACAAATGCGAAACGAGCCCCCTGTATTCGTGCTGAGATTTCGTCAGAGATCAGCCCATTGGGGCTGATGGTACTTCCCAAATAAGTGAAGCGGTCAACGTGCTCTACCACTTCACTTCCTATTTTTAAACTAGGCGTCGATGTAGTCCAGTCCTGTAACATCATCTTGCATTTGGCGGGAGCGAATCGCATGCCAAACATTCGTAGATTGCGGCTCAAGGTGTTTAGAAGACTCTGCATTTCGTCAGCGTCTTCGCCTAGAAGGACTATATCGTCTGCATATTCCAAGTCAACGAGATTGTTCCCCGGTAGCAAGTCAATCCCTGAGCCAAACAGCACACAAATGTCAACCGAGATCCAGTTGAGCAGTAACTTTTCTGCTCCAGAACTCGATGCTATCCCTACACCACAGAATCTTCTTATGTCCTAAAGGTAAATTTCACAGTTTTACCCTTAGGTGCCCATAAAAATGAAAGTTTTGCATGACCACAGTGCCTAGCGAACCTCTACTAGAAGCCCGGTCAAAGGCGAACTGCTTCGGAGTGATAAAACATATGGAACACCATTTTTCTATAGACCTCAATGTGTGCTACTAACTGCTATGTGATAAATAGGAGCGTACAGTTTTTTGAGGCCTACCCTTACTTACCCCTTCTTTTCAGAATGTGAAAACAACATATTTGGCTTGGTAGGTGTTAGAAAACAGAATCGTATCGCTAAAACATTCCTTTACCGAAATAGCACCATTTCACCCTCAGACCCCAAACATAGTACAGGTAACATAGTGATAATTCCCCGTAGTCTTACTGCTATCTGGCTAACTTTTCTGACGTGGTAACGTATAGGAACAGTCGTTCCAGCTACTATAACATCGTGGTTCACTGCAATACATAACTTCGACCACCACATCAAGGCAAAGCTCCCGACTACAATATTAAAAAAAACTACGATCCTTATTACGTATAGTTTCTGGACTTTATTCAACAAACCAAATTTTAGTAGTGAAAATAATGCCAAAATCATCTTTTTGATATCATTGTTTTCCATTTTGTGTATACTTTGTTAGTGTATTGTGGATACTGAAGAGTTCAAGAAAATCAATCCTGATCTTGCACCTAGTTTACAAGAAGTAGAACGTGGTATTCGAGACGGTTTCTTATCTTTGGATGATCGTCTTCGTCATCTCCCTCAACTTGCTAGTGGAGAAGATAGATCAGGGTCTACTGCTGTTTGTGTACTCATTACACCGAAACATATTTTCTTTGCCAATTGTGGAGATTCTCGTGCAATACTAATTCGTAAAGGAAAAGTTGCTTTTGCTACCGTTGATCATAAACCAGTAAATCCTAATGAAAAACAACGTATACAAAACGCTGGTGGTTCAGTTATCATACAACGTGTAAATGGTTCTCTTGCTGTTTCTAGGTATGTCATGTTTTAAACTTTTATTTTACTTTTTATATGTATATATTTGCGTACCTGAAGTTAAATGAGGATATATGGGCGTGGCTTTTTTAATCTAATGACCTGTGCTAATCTCATATTCGCGTAAAGTTCCATATCATTATTTTACTTTGAACACACTACCGATTGCTGCCACCTTGATATGATAGTCTGACTTGTATACCCCAATGACCCAACGAGCTACACTGTCTGTAACAAATGTTACTGCAGGTCTTACTATGCCAGAAAAATCGTTTGGGTAGCGGTTAGACTAAAAACGAGTAAGTCGCTCACATGATGTTGGGTGTTTGCCACTGAGGTTGTACTTCACAGCAGTCTACACTGTATTAGTTGATTTCTCCTTTGAATACATGAAAGAGGAGGAGCATTAGTGTTCTCTGACCACAAAGTCCAGGAGACAGTTGCTTGAGGCTAGCCACATGACTTGATTTTGGAATATTGTCGTGTTCTTGTGTAAGCTTCTGTGGATTTTTACTGATAGGTAAATTAATTCACTGTGTCAGATCCTCGTAAGTTGAAAACATAGTTTTCTGAACACCATGAAGAGAAATTCAAATATGTTTGGCATACGACTCACTGTGCGCCGGCGGCACACAGCAGTTAGGACGCTTGCCAACCATGCACATGTTCCGGGTTTCGAACCCCGACCACACGCACTCCTTTAACTGGCCAAGCCACAAGTAAGGTTGGGCATAAGGCTAGCATCCCCATCCTGCAAAAATAAACACCGCTACAAAAACTTCAAGCCTCTAGCTTGAAGCCCTGTTTTCCACCGGGAACGTGAAAAAATAGAAAGAGTACTACTCACTCCTGTCGAACGTAAGATGATGCAGCTCGGCCGGTCTTCACGGACTCTCCTAGTTTACGCGCAGAGGTTGAAATAAGGTAGTTGTGTTTTCTGAGGTTGTTCGTTTAATTACGAAGCTTCCATTGTCCTTCTGGACAACATTTTCAGCGTTTACTTAACATTTAATCACTGGTTGTTGACGAAATCTCAGTATGGATACGAAAGACTTGTTCGGTACTTTTGCCAACTTGTGTCATCTTTCCTCCAGATGTCATCCCTAACTATTCTTCAAAGGGTGCATGCATTATGCAACATTTCGCTTCATTGTATTTCATGGCTGTGAGGAGCATTCTCTGAAGGTAGAAGATAGAGAAAAAAGCCCACTGATTTTTGGCCATGGGTTTCCGGCACCACAGACTCTACTCAAGTACAACTCTGCGTGATTTAATCTTGTCGTTACACGAAATACTAATGTACCTTATTGTTTAAACATAAGTAGATCATCATGGAAATTATTTTTTAGTAGAATTTCGCTATGCAAAAACAATCTGGCTTGTTTTTCATTCATTCGGATATTTAAACCTCAAAATAATGAATATTGTTTATTTGGATGGAGGATTTCATCAGTTAGACAACCACTGGAAAAACTGGGAGTACTGAACAGCTGTTTTGTCCTAGTTTGGGACTCTTCATCAGTATTGACCCTCCGGGGTTCGAATCCAGGACCTTGTGGTTACAAGGCTAGCGAGCTCGTAGACCATTAACCCACTTGGTCCCGCTCCATTGGCCCATGAATTCTAACTTCTCTCAATTCACGACATAGCGCAACGATTTCGCAATGTCTTCGATGAGTTACTGCCTCATCTTCAACCTGCTGTACATTACTGGTCACGGCTTCCCACTAAAACCCCAGGTCGCTAGTGAGCATCTTCCATTCAACCAAACAAAATCCCTACAAAACCAATACTTGAATATTGTTTTTGTTATTATGTCCAACTTTTTATCAAACTATTTAGTCCGAACTTTGTTTGGTCAGCTACAAACTCAAAAGCTATGAGGTGTTTTCTATGCCTGATACTCATCAGTTAAACTGTTTCAAAATGAATAACTTTTTTTTTATCAAAAATTAGTCAGTGACCCTCGTCAAATGGTCTTAATCTTAATGCCTTCAAACGTCAGGTGGTTAATTTCACACTTAGATGCAAGCACGAATTACGTGAACTGGTTAGTTCACACGGTTCCGCCACTATCATAGGTGGTACTGAAGTTGAAACCGAATCGAATGTTAAATACCTTGGACTATGCATTTCCTTTGATCTTTCTTGATCTTCCCACATCATGTTAGTTTCCAGAAAGATATTTCGTTTGACGTTCTACGTAAGGAAGTTAAGACGACTTGATATCATTCCGTCTCTTCTGTTACCGTCTGTTAATTCTTATATTCTGCCTATACTTCTTTACTGCTCCCCTTTAATCTTTCCTGGGCTAATTAAGAGAGACTTTTTTATACTGCTAAGGGCACTAAAAGCTGTCAGTAGGGCGAGTGAAGTGTGGCTAAACCAACTGGTTAATACTATTGTAGACAGACACATGGACTCCTGCAAGAGGCCAGCAAATAGTATCTTGTGAGGCACTGAGCATCCTCTCTATACACAACTCTTTACTTGCATCTCATCAAGTAGAACTAAAAGAAACTATAGAAGACTGTATCCTCGGACGACTACGTACAAAATCTCTACAACACCTTATTTAGCATACATTTGATTTGGTGAGAAAAGTGTAAGGCAAGAAATTACCAACCTGTTGTGGGGCTGTAAATAAACGGCCCCTTGTTGTCATTGTTACGTTGTTGTTAATATTTTCAACTAATTTAATCTTATAATTCATTTCTTATTGAACAATATTATCAATTTAAATGCCCTCTTTTATTTATTATCCCTGTGATGAAGAAGTTAGATCCAATCCTGTACTACATGCTGAAAATCCCATATTTTCACCATAAGTACCGTTTGGAATAAAGATATTATTATTTTTATTACATTTACTCTTCTATCTAAGTAGTTAGCCCTCCGCCCAGTAAGGCTTCGTGTGCTTTTGGAAGTGTGTCGGTGGTTGTTACTGGGATTGGTTACCGCCGGTTACGGACCACCGTAGGGTAAGTCAGGATGTACAGTTTTCGGGGTCGACCTTTTATAACCCTCTCTCTCCGGAGTGGAGAGACAGCATAGCTGGCCAGCATGCTGGCCATCTGAGGGAAACACCTCACTGCTGTTACACCCCTGTTCCCCAGCAGTACGACTTCGCCCTCAGACCCCCAGCGTGGTGAAAGAAAGATTCTTACTCAATTCCGGTAACTGCTTTTAGTCTAATTGCTATCTTAACAACCTTCCTGGCATGGTAGGACCTGCAGGAATGATTGGTTCCCGCCAGTGCAGTTTGTTGGGTCATCGTGATGTGCAAGCCCGACCACCACGTCAAGGTAGCAGCTATCGGTCGGGGTTGGGGTCCTGTTTGGGATCCTCGGGACGGTAAAAACCAATGGTTGGAAACAATTGGTGATATGGTTCAAAATCGTTCTAAATGGCTAGCGCAGATGTATCCACTCCTTGTGACTTATGATTTCCAACAAAACTATATTGTTCTTTGTTATTACTATCCCTTTGTCTCACACCTCTGTTTACTGTCTCTATCATGCATTTCTCCAACTTTCTTCGCTTGCTTTGTGTGCTACATGGAGTGTGGCGACTTGAACTGCTTCACATCGGTGCAAAACAGACAGACAGTTAGCCCTCCTGTGAACTACTGTTTTTGATGATACAATATGCTGTGAAGTAAGTCATGGGGATAAAACATCGAAAGTTTTTTGAATTGCTCCTAGTAGGTGAGTAGTAGTAGAGAAGTTGTTTGTTGCTTAACGGTTTCCACTCAAATTTAAAGCTACATTTATCATTTGTGTAATCTCTTTCTTTTTTTTCTCTGACTTCCACAGATCATTAGGTGATTATGCTTTTAAAGCAGCCAAAGATCTTGGTCCCACGGAACAGTTGATCTCTCCAGAGCCTGAAATTACTGTAGTTGATCGTGATAAAGACTTAGATGAGATTATTGTCTTAGCATGTGATGGTATTTGGGATGTCTTAACCAATGAAGAACTCTGTTCACTATTACAAAATCGTATGCGATGTGTTGAAGACTTGTCAATGATATGCAATGAAACTATAGATATGTGTTTGTATAAAGTGAGTAATATATTTCTGTATTCTTGTTATTATGTCATCAGTGTTTGAATAATTTGGTACATACCTATTTTCTTTTGCTCTAATTGTTAGACTTTTGTCACAGATCAACATCATTTAGAGAGGTCATTGAAATCCAGGGGGTACTAGACGGTTACTCCGTCCTGTTGTGGGACTCTTCACCAGTGTGCACCTACAATCTAGCCATAGATCGAATGCGAGACCTTCAAGTTTTGAGACATAAGCTGGTTAACCATTCAGCTACTTGGGTTGGAATTCAATGACTCTTGAATTCTAACTCTGTCAACACATGGTATAGCTCTGTCCTCACCCAATGCCTTCGATAAAAATCCACTGGTCACAACTTCCCATCTCGACTTCAGGAAATCCATCCATCCGGTAGCCACCAGTGGGCTGGTGTAACATATTTTTGCTTCCATTTCTTTGCGTTCCTGTGCGGGACATAAGCGTTCAAACTTTGAAGTTTCAGTAGAGGGGTATTTTATACAGAGTGTAATCGTTAGCCTTTCACAACCTTCCCTCTTTTTCGGGTTTGCTATCCGCTAGGTGAGGTTTAGCAGTACACCGGCTGGGAGTCGAACCTGAACTACATGCGTGATTGGTGTGAGCATTCTACCAATAATAGACTGCTGACTCATAATGCTGCGTAACATGTGTGTTCATTTAATAAGGTATAACAGTCTATTTGTTTATTGTTGTGAAATTGACAGGAAGATTTAGACAACCTATAGTTTCCATGTGATAAACAGATAGATAGATGGTTATTAGATATCTTCTTCGTGTATGAGGTTGTCCATTCTTTAAAAATAGCTCGAATAATCTCTATACAGTTATGTAGATTATTTCTCTCTGTTTCTCTCTCTGTTATTTCACTCCATTACTGTAGTTGTCTGTCGTGTTTAGTTAATAAGTAGATATCTCACACAAACCAACAAAATTAATTCACTCATCTCTGTGTCAACAGCGAAACCAACATCACCTACAAAATAAGTTGTAACGACTACATTGGCTAAAGTGGACGTCCTCTTCATATTCGTATCCATGAACATAACCGAACATCAAAAGACATGACATCAACTCCCCCATATCGCTGCATGCAGACAACCACGGACATCAATTCGAGTGGAACAACATTCAAATATTATACTGAGAAAACACCAAGAATACCAGAAGATTTTTAGAAGCCTGGTATTCCAATGGATCATCAATTAAAGGACGCGTTAAAATAGACAAAATCTACCAATCAACAAGAAGGAAATGTTATGCACAAAGGGTCGAACTTGACGTCAAGGAAACAATCAGTACCAATACAAGTAGCCTAGAGGGTGTGAAAACACACAAAAAACAACCAATCACGTTTACTTCTTGGCTAATATTTCGTTCTTAACCAACAATGAAAGTATATTGGGGGAGGAGTGATGGAATTTCTCATATCCTACTGTTTATGTATTAACTTTTATTCATTGATTTGTTTGGTGTAGTTTAGTGTATGGCGTTTGTTATCAGTCGTAATCATACTAAGGATCATTTATTTGTGGATACTACTGCCTAAGAAATCCACCATAGCTGAGCAGACGTCAGAACATCTCGAGGCCCACTGTAAGTATTAGCACTTTCAGTTAATCGCACTTGTTGAAGTCAATCCCCGAAAGAGGCTCTTTCATGTTCCAATCTATGAACCACATACTTATTGTGTAAAGGCTAATGATACTACCCGGTTGTTCTAGCTGAAGCAGGCGAGAGAAACGGGATTCAATTGTGAGACTCACCGACTGAAAGTCAAGTGTTTAGAGCTATAAACCGCGTCTTCATATGTCTTTAGATATTGCTAATTCAATCTCAGTGTGAGCCATCGCCTCCCTCGACGAGCTATGTTAGCGGATATAGGGTCAGGCTGGAAAAAAGCTAGCGGCGGTCAAACAAAAACTTGGCACCAGTCAATGAAATCCACAACAGTTGGTCTAAGCCACGTAGAAAGGTGTAGACTTCCAGGCTGGGGTCCTCGGGACGGTAAAAATCTATGGTTGGAAACAATTGGTGACATGGCTCAAAACCGTTCTCAGTGGCGCAGATGCATCCACTCCCTGTGACTTATGATCTTCAATGAAACTGTTTTGTATTTCTTTATTACTCCTTTGTCTCACACCTCTGCTCACTGTTTCTATTATGCTTTTCTTGTACTTTCTTCTCTTGCTTCGCGTGCTACACGGAATGTGGCGACTTGAACTTCCGCACATTTGTGCAAAGTTCTATGTCGAAAACAGACAGACAGACAGTGTGAGTGATGCAGTAGTGTAATGATAGTGAGAGTAACTTTTTCACGTAAACCTGTAGACTTACAGGTGAAAATCGACTATTTGACACAAGAAGCACCAGAAAAAAAAAGAATTTTAAGTGAAGATTGAGAACACAGAAGTGATGAAGACAACCAACCAACAAAGCAGAAACAAACAAGCACAAATCACTATCAACAAGAGAAATTTTGAATGAGATCACCAAGAAGGGATCTCATTCTAGAAAGCATCGCTCTAACTACCTGAGGGGACTTGAATGATGATGTCAAAATGAGAATCGCAAAGGCAAGACAGACATTCATCACTGTGAAATCAGTCTGCAGATCTGCTTCACTCAGAATGAAGACCAAGATTTGAATTTTCAGCATCGATGTTCAGTTAATTCTTCCATGCGAGTCACGAAATGCATTTCCAATAGACTTCAGACTTTTATCAACAGCTCCCTTCGCTGGCTCCATATATTGAAGATCAGATGACCGACCGGAAACAATTAGGAACAAGAAACTGTGGGAATTAACCGACCGAGAACCTATCGCTCACCAAATATCCCAGAGAAAGCGGAGATGGACTGTGGATATACACACTGAGGAGACCGTTGGGTGACGTCGCGTGCCAGGCCCTCTAATGGAACCCAAGTGGGTGACGACAAGTTGGGTGTAAGTTCGAGGGTGATTTATAGGAGATAATGTGAGGAGAATATGGGAGCGTATGGGCGGTCGTAGAGCCAGCTAAAGAGGACTGCAGAAAACGGCGTGAGGTAGAGATGTACTGTTTGAAACCCTGTGTTCCACTTCGAACTTAAAGGAATAATAATAATAGTAAATTTTGCTAATTTATCTTTTCACTAAATGAAGAAATGTTACTGGATTGAGGTAGATAGAGCTGTTTAAGCAGTTATACACTTATCCACACTATTATTATTATTGTTCAATTCAGTTATTATCTCTTCTTAAAGATATACTCTTGATCTGCATATACAGACAATGCAGTTTCATCACACATTGGATAGTATGCTCATGTGTTTATACGTTGGTATAACCATTCTCTTTTTTTCAGCGAACGGTTTACATATTCGTACATTATGAGGCATAGAAGTTATTTCACTATCTTCGGCCTACAATTCTTATTCCTTATTCATTAAACATAAATAAACTAATAATAATAATAATTTTTCCTTCACGTCCCCAGTGGAACATAGGGCTCCAAGCTAGTGGCTTGAAGTTTCTGTAGCAGTGTTTAATTTTTACAGGATGGGGTTGCTAGCCTCATGCCCAACCTTTCCTCTTTACCAGCATTATTTCTGGCTCAGTGAGGTAAAGGAGTGCGCCGGCCGGAGATCGAACCCCGGACCATATGCATGGCCGGCGAGCGTGCTAACCGCTATACCACCGACGCACTACCCACTGAATATATAAAACAAAGTATTCTCAGTCTATGATGTTCACATTTCTTTATTTTTTCTCTCTTCAGGGTAGTTCTGATAACATGAGTATGGTGCTAGTTGCATTCGATCCTGCTCCACGAGTAGATCCTACTTCTAAAGCTGAAGATGAAAATTTAGAATCTATTTTAGTACAGCGAACAAAAGGTGAGATAATATTTGCTTCTTGTCGTTGTTGTTATTATTAGTATTATATGTTATGTTTGATGATTTTGTTACAGTGCAATTTCTCTTCTATTTAATCAACTGGATTATGTGAAAGGATTACCACTGATTACGGATTAATATCAGTTAAAGAGAAGCATTGAAAACCGGGGAGTATTGAACAGCTGTTTCGTCCTCTTTATTTGGGACACAGTCCTAGCCTATGACTGTATCGACACGCAACCGAACTCCAGGGTATTCAGGCTACAAGATGAACTCGCTGACTGACCATTCTAATTTCTATCAATTTTTGATATACAGGGCAACCGCCAGTCAACGTTATCGGTGACTTTGTGTCCTGACACCTGACATGGTGAACTCCACTGGTTAAGACCCCTCACTAGAACTCCAAGCTTGCAGGGGGATTTCATTGGTTTCAGTTGTTCTGTAGGTGGTGATGTTAGGTTAGCTTGTCATCTAACCTGAAATTAATTAAATGCCTGCAAACCAACATTTAAAATAGGACTATTCGTCAATTGACAGAAGATATAATTGATGGGCCACAGGATTTTGTCCCAGTGACCGAATCGCCAGCAAGCTCGTCTCGTAATCCGAAGCTTCTGGGTTCGATATTCTATTGGGTTATGAGTGTGTACGAGTCCCAAAGCAGGAGGATAAAACAGCTATGCAATACTTCCTTTTTATTTTCAATGGTTCTCTAACTGCTTACTTACTTTACTTTACTTCGGCTATCTCCTACGGGAGGATGAGCCGGCTTCATGAACGAGTTCATGAAGTTTCTTGGGAATTTGGTACGAGTGATGTCCCCAGCATCGCTCGGCCTTTTGTTTGAGAGTGCAGCTCTAGCCTTTACACAGCCAAGTGTGACCTACAAGGCAGTAGGAGTGGAGTAGGGAGCCCACTATCCATTGGCAGCCGGTGACCGGAGTTCGGTTCATACGCCTTTTTGAATGGGGCCAGACATCCAGGACATCCAACAAGCCCTTTGTCCATACGTCTGCCGGTGAGCTCCGGTGAGCTTCATACGCCAGTCGTTGAAGGTTTGGAATCAGGGTTTAGCCATCTCCTCTAGACTGTCATCCAATGGACAGTCAACCCGGTGGAGAGCGCCGGGCATCCGCTTTTGCCCTCTCGCTTTAGTGAGAAACACCTCCGCCACGTGAAGGCAGTGAGTAGGACTTCCTCAGGAGAGGCTATGTAAGACGCACGGTCATATGGGAGCATTTCAAGAGGTGTGCGGAGGGGTGGCCAACCCGCAGCGCAAGACACCCACCCCCGACCATCCTGAGGCCCATCCTGCTAAAGTCAGTTCGTGATCAAACTTGGAACCGATCAATTGCCTAATAAATTAACACTTGAAAATATTACTTCCTCATTAGTGAAACGAAACTTAATGTGAATGAAAGTTTTATAAATGAAGAATTAACATATTACTAAAGCGTGTTGTTAGGATGCAATTATCTGTTTAATGAACTTTCAGTGTATCATTGGTTATGAAACGCTACTAAATTATCTCATATTGACTGATGACACTACTCAGTTATGCATTTGGACTGAATTCGGTGGAGCAGGATTTGAACCCGTGAGATCTCATTGGCTGAGAGTTGAGTGCTTAAATCAATAAGCCGAATTACTCATGTATCTACTGTTTCAATTACACTTATTATTAACACAACTTAGTAAACGAAAAAGCATCATTATTTTCAATTCAATTTTGATTTTCCTGTTGATTGATTGGATTGCAATATGTGAATTCAAAATAAATAATAATTAATGCCCGTCGGTGGCACAGCGGTAGAATGCTCGCCAGCCATGCAAGTGGTTCGGGGTTCGATCCCCGACCGGAGCACTCCTTTACCTCTCAAAGCTAGTAATAAGACTGGCAGAGAGGGCATGAGGCTAGCAACCCCGTTCCGTAAAAATAAACACCAATGCTACTGAAACTTCAAATCTCTAGCCTGAAGCCCTATGTTCCACTGGGGACGTAAAGGAATAAAAAAATGCCCGTTTCACAAAAGAGGTGACACTGGCAGTGACCTAGGTGGTCTAGTGGATAATGCTGTGGTGTTTGAAACCAAGAGTACTTGGTTCGAGTCTCAGTGGGAACATCATCGCTCACACTGACTGGGGAATGCAGGTATATATCCACTAGATGATGAGTCCAAAACAGGACGAAGTGCACATTCTGGATTCCACTGTTAATAATTATTCACCACATTAACACAGCTGCACGCTACAGTAATATGTTTACTAATTTGATTGAAACCGTTTCAAAGACTTGAAATCACCCCTTAGTTTAAAATAAATATAATTAAATAAATTGACATTGTATGCCATTGAATTTTTGTGTATGATTAGAAATTGAAAGCATTCATTTCCCGATACGAATTTTAGAACAAGCAACACTTATTAATAGGAGAGAATTTTGATGAATTCATTAAATTTCGGTAGAACTTTTAGTGAAGTGGGAAGATTTGGAGTGAATTGGTTGAGCGTGTCGACTACTTCACGTGTTTGGGAAGTTGCATCAACCCCAACAGGCTTCTTGCTCACGAAATCTGAAGTCGGATACAAAAGTATCGTGTGGCATTTGCCAGATAATATCATCTCTGACATAGATGTGAAGTCCATCCATCGATCAAAGGATGTGTGCACTGCTCTGCACTTCGCTCCCTCCTCCTTTATGGCTGTGAGACATGGTCAATGAAAGTAAATGATATGAAAAGGCTAGTTTTCTGCGATCATAGATGTCTGTGTTGGGTGAGTAGTATTGAGGTTAGACGTCGAGCGTAAGTCGACCAATGAAGTTGTGAACCTATTGCGATTAAGACGGCCAGGACACGCGTGCCGAACCATCGCCCTCCTTGACGGGCAATGTTAGTCAACATGGGATTTGGTTGAAGAAGATTTAGAATTGGTCAAACCAAAACCCGGTCTCATCAGTCCATGAAATCTTTGACAATTAGTTTGAGTCACTTAGGAAGGTATCGGTTGTCTGGTTGAGGTCGTTGGGATTCTTAGAACCAATTGCTGGAGACGGTGCAGAGGCTTTCATTTTTTATGATCTTCCATATCTATTAAACCCTGTTGTATTTCCGTGTTACTATTCTTTCTCCCTCACATTTCTGCTTATCATCGTCCTTTTGAATCACTTTTTCTCTCTTTTTTCTGCCTTTGTGTGTTTCATGGAGTGTGGAAAAAGTTGAACTGGTTCACTTCTGTGCAAAGTTATATGTTCAAACCAGTCAGTCGGTCAGATAGAAGGCTTCATCTGCATACTCTACATGCAGTCATATATAAATGTATACATCACTGAATATTTCTAATTACCAAATACCGTTAGGAAAAAGTATAATGAAATTGTAACCTAACCAAATTACTGGTCGGGCATTACATTATCTTCTTTCTTTATGAGGTGTTTGAGGAAGTTTGGCAGAAAACTATTTCTAAAAAGAGCGTGTTGGTTTACAAGGGTCCGATCACGAGTTGACATCAGTTAGAGGACGATTGGGAGACTGGGGAGTACTGGACAGGTGTTTCGCCCTGCCTTGGGACTCTTCATCGGTGTCCACTCGCCGTTGATTGAATCCACAACAGAACCTTTCGGTTACAAAATAACCTCGTTGACCATTCACCTACTGGGATGGAAATTTGTAGCCTATGAATCCTAATTTCTGCCAGTTCGCGATATATATATATATATTCGTGATTAAACCTGCAAAACGACATCTGGAAAATCAATAAAATTTTGCGGAGAGCGAATGAACTCTCATCTTGACTTCGAAACTCTTTTTTGTGGTCGCACAATCATAACGACTACCAAATAGACCTTCTTCACTAAATTCACACAGCAAACAGTGTTCCTACATAATCAATGTATATGTATAACATTCGCCCATCAATTCATGAAAGAGAGGAGTGAAAACTAATCATAAACTAATTGAGCATATACACATCGAGACACTAAGGGAGCAAAGGAATTATAAACCTACCGGTAACGATGGGAGAATGCAGCTCCTGATGTTGCTTTGTGGAGTGATGACTTCTTAAGACAATCGTCTATTTTAGTGTCAGGAGATACAACAGTGTCGTGCACTTCGTATTGCACCAACTTTACTATCAAATAAAAATATTTATAAAGGGAATGACATCAGATATCTTTCACTTTATATCTCGAATTCCCAGTAGTTGGAATTCTTAGAACACAGGAGTGACTCAATAGTAAAGCAGCGACTTTAAAACCTTAACCTGACCAGCCTACACAGTTGCGCTCACATACTATTCAGGGGTTCATAACTTCATTCTCAGTGCACTTTTAATGAATATCTGTTCGCGATGAAATTCGCTTTGGAAGTCAACTGTTGCTTAATCTCCTAAATTAACTAAGGTAATAGGTTCGGACATGGTTTTTATCGATATAGGCTAACATTCTGGAGATATCGGGTCTTTGGTTTGAGCATTTGATTTACAATCAGTGGAGAAAGAGAGAGAGACTTTTGTCCAGCTAAATAGAGCGTCATTAATCCGAAAACAAATGCCGCACTTCTAAATGCACAATTCTTTAATTGATTGTTAGGTAATACATACTCCTTTCCAATACATAAACTGTGAAAATGTGATTGATTGGCTGAAGCAGTCAACTTTGAGTCATTAGGTCCTTGGTTTGAGTCCCTCCACACCTACTTCAGTCTGGGCAACTGTTTAGTACCATCAAACCACAAAATATATGTGACTCACAGCTCACTAATAACTAGCTGATACATATTTAATTGAATTTTAGATTTTCCCGTCGATTGATTGGACCGAAGCGCTCGGCCTCATGTTGGCATGTCGGCTTCTTGTGCAGATGCTTCGACAATGTCTGGGCATGTAATTAGAATTTAATTGGTGGATAGTGACTAGAAGTGGAATCCAGGATGCGCATTTCTCCATATATGGGACTCGTCAGCGAGATGTACCTGCATTCCCCAGTGAGTGACGAT